CCAGCTCCCCATGGTTGCAGGCTCCGCCCCTGCCCAGGCCTAACGCCTCTGGCCTGGGCGTCGGGCCCAGGCAGTGGGGACCTGCAGTGGCAGCGGGGGGCCCCGCGATCGTGGGCTCCACTTTAGGCCCAGGCAAGGGACCTCTAGCTCCCGGGACTGTCAGTTTCCAACCGTGCCCAGCTCCCATCGCTGGCTCCACCCCTACTTCCTGCTATCACTGGCCAGGGCAGCAAAGGTGCCTGATTCTCTGATCATGGCTGGGGGGCATGGCAAAGGCGGCCCCAGGGCCGCCTTTGCCCTGCCCCCCAGCTCTTAGCTCCCCCCTGGGTTTCCAATCACTGTCAGTGGCAGGGGGCTTCTTCCTGCTCTCCCTTTCGCCTGCCTGCATTGTGCCTACATATGCAAATTAACCGCCATCTTGTTGGCAGTTAACTGCCAATCTTAGTTGGCTGTTAACTGCCAATCTTAGTTGGCAGTTAATTTGCATATAGCCCTGATTAGCCAATGAAAACGGTAGCGCTGTACACCAATTACCATTTTTCTCTTTTATTAGTGTGGATATATCATATGCTAATTGTCCGTCCAACCCTTTGACTGTTCGACCAGTCACTATGATGCTCACTGACCACCATAGGGCCGATGTTGTGACCGGTAGGTTAGCTTCCTTCTGGGGTCTGTTCAATGGGGACTGGGCGAGATGAGCTGGACATGGCCTGGATTCCTCCCACAGTCCCTCTTAGACTGGCCAACCTGCTGGGCTCCCTCCCTGGCTGGCCAGCCCCGATTGGGACTGGGTGAGATGGGCCAGACACACTCTGGAGCCCTCCTACGGTCCCTCCCCTGCCCCAATTGTGAACCAGTGATGTCCCTTGGCCTGGCCTGCACCTTCTCACAATCCAGGACCCCTCAGGGGAGGTTGGAGAGCCTTCATTTTTCAGATACTTCATTTTTTATATTTGCTTAAAAACATAGATGAGACTGCTGTTTAAAATCACAATGTTGGTTCCAAAACTCCTGGGAGTTTTAATCTGAAACTAGTGCCCATACAGAGGGCAGGGAAAGACTCAAAAGAGAAGCAGGCCATGGCAGATGGGTTGGTGGTAGTTTAATAAGCTAAGAAATTTACTTACAAGGCTTGTCTTGGGTGGCCCAAAGACAAATTTCTTTGCACTTACCTGCCAGATTTGAAAAAATTATGTAGCTGGGCTAAGTCTGGTACACCATCCTGATGGTCTCAACAACACATTATTATTTCAAGGCTGTGTCCTTGAAGCAGCTTCTGGGAGGGAAAAAGGCAAACTGAAAGCCCATTTGGACCAGGCTTCAGGTCAACTGGAGGTCACATCTTCTCCATGACCTTCCCCAGTGTAACAGGACACAATGGGTTCAAAGGAACACAGTCTTGGTGGGAGAAAAAGTTCTATTTTCAGTTGTAACAAGTAAAGGAGACAGGGGAATATTTTTCAAAGTTCTGCTTCCCTAAGGGAGGCTTAGCCATTGCCTATGTACATGGTTTGATTAATTACATGTTGATTTTTTCTTTGTAGCTGGCTAAACTCATCAGTATTCATTAGGTCAAGTTCATCCACTAGAACTCCTCTGCAAAATATTGTGCCACATTTTAGCATTCAGTAAGAACTGCTCAGACTTGAAACTCTTGTCCATCTGTCACCAACACTCATGCATGGTGACCGGCTTTCACAATTTCATATGCCACCTTCTTCTTCTGCACTGTGCCCTGAGAGGTCAGCAACGGGCTTCAAAAGCATGGAAATGGCTCTTTTGGCAGCTGCTCTCCCATATGCCATAGCAAGAATACAATTGCAAGTGAAAACACAGGTTAAGACACCAATTCCCAAAACCAGGGACAGCATTTTCCACTCAGAACAACATGACCCAAACCACTGACTTTGCAAATCTCTTGATCTGGGGGTCTGATCACTCAGGGAGTTGACTGGTATTCTCATGTGATTAAGCAAAGATCATACATTAATGGACTCATCAGGTATGAACACAAAACATTCTGCTTGGGCAATGACACAGATTTCAGCTGTCAGGAGAGATATTCTGGTGTCAGGAAACACTAAAGGGGATTTTTAAAACAAACATCAATAATGGTCAGTGTATGTCTGAAAGAGAAAAGACAGTGGGTATTGTTAAGAATTATCAATCAGGATATTAGCAGCAGAGATGGCCCACTCTAATTAGGAACTTGGGGGAGAGTCAAGTGCACAGGTTTCTTACAAGCTGTGCACACAGGGTATGCAAGTGACAGGGGAGACTGCTGGCAACAGTGAGGAAATAGCACCCTAACCGTAAAAGGGTGAAGAGAACAGGAACCCAGAAAAAGTGTTGAGTAGAGAAGTTGTGATTTTTGGCTTAGGGTTGCACCTGGTCAGAGATGGCCTTGTTGGGAGAGAGGCAGGAGAACAAATACCCTGGCCTTGCTTTTCTACCCAGAAAAGATCTCCTGCTTGCACTTCTCATTGGCAGACGCCAGGCTGAACTCATAGAACCAAAGTTCTCACTTATGTTGTTAGAGAGGACAAAAGTGTTAAGATCTGGGCCATTTTTACTCAATGCTGCTCTTACTAAATGTTCAAATACACCAGTCTAGCTATAAACAGGATGATCTTGATAAGAACTCAGCAGTATTACTGTAGCCAACTGCAAAGAATAAACCACCACGTAATTGACCAAAGAGTGTAAGGTATGGCTAAGCCTCCCTTTGAGGAGACAGAGGTTTTTATATCAATCCCATGTTTTCTTAATTTGCTACAAGTAAATAAAACTATCTTGGGACAACCATGTCTCCTTCTTAAATACAACACCCCAAGTGGAGAACCTTTGGGTTGAGTAACAATGTGATCCACATAGGTCAGCCTCCTGAGGCAAAGAGTTAGAGTGAAGAAGGGAAAAGGATGGATCAGCAGAGGCAAAAGAAAAATATTTGGCAGAGAGGAGATTCTTAAGTTAATGTTTTAATAGATATTTAAGGCTAGGTGTTGGAGACCGGGTGTAAGCTGACATGGTCCTTGCACCTGAAGGGGCTAGCAAGGCTGGGACCCTTACCCACACAGTTTTCCCAGACTTGTTTGGATGGCAGTTATCAGTAGAATGGCAGCAACCTTTGTAGAATGAGAACAGCCTTTCATGGCTTACCAAGAAATCTGTAACTATTTACTGAGATTTGCTGTACCTAGAATTTGTCCTTCTGCTCTGTCTCTCCCCTAGAGATTAAGAGGAACAAAGAATACATTCCTCTTGACCAACCTCCTATTCAGTGTTTTGTGTATAAAAGGCATTGCGTGGTTAATAAACTTATTGCAATTCCTCGATTGACCTGTAGTCCTCCCGATCCCACTCTCCTGTCTTTCTTTCTTTTCTCAATTCCCACCTCCCTACCTCAGCCAGGTTCAACCTGTCAGGCTGGCCCTGACAGCTAGGTACCTTAAAAAGAAAAGAGAGAGAAAAACAGTAAGAAAATGTCATAACTTCCAGATGTCCATGTGTTACTGGACAGGGACCAGCCCAAAGTGGATCTGCCTCAGGCTGGCCTATAGTGTGTGGGTTCTTTTCTTTTTTAAAAAAATTAATCTTTATTCTTGAGAGTATTATATATGTCCTTTTTTTTACCCTATAGTGTGTGGGTTCTTGATTTGGTGCAGGAAAGATTTCAAAACGCAAGTCCAGGTGATTTTGAGAGTATGTTTATTAAAGCTAGGGACAGTGAAATAAAAGAAGGGGTTAGGGTAGAAGAAGCCACAGCAGAGCGCCTAGGTGGGGCTGCTTTGGCTCTGGAAATGTTATAGGAAAGAACTGAGCCAAGGTGGGGCTGCTTCATCTCACTGGGAAGTCAGGGAAAGGGGGCCTTGGGGACGGGATCAGGGACTGAGCCTGGGTCCAGCTGCCACTGCTCTGCTGGCTGCAAGTCTCTCATGGAGACCCTTAGCATTAAGGAAGAAATAAAAAGTTCATGCTTGATTGGTTTGGTTCAGTGGATAGAGCGTCGGTCTGTGAACTGAAAGGTCTCAAGTTCAATTCCAGTCAAAGGCATGTATTTTGGTTGTGGGAACATCCCCTATAGGAGGTGTGCAGGAGGCAGCTGATCCATGTTTCTCTCTCATCGATGTTTCTAACTCTATCTCTCTCCTTTCCACTCTGTAAAAAATCAATAAAATATATTTTTAAAAAAGTTCATGCCTGATAAAGGGGCATGGGACTGCTCTAAGGCAGTGAGCTTTTGTCCGGAGGGCTTTCTATCCCTATTCCTGGTTGTTTTTTCAGCTTTCCAGGTGCATTTTTAATATGCTGATGCATCAAAATGAGTGTATGGTGGAGTTTGGAATTATTCTTTGATCTGTTTTACTTTTATCTTAGTTGTGTCTGGCTTTAATGGGTTTTTGTTACTTGTTCACTGACTTCTTCTATCCTTGGGTTTGGCTGGCACAAATAGCCTTAATTGGCTCTTTGTGCTCCACTTCCCAGACCAGGGTGATATAAGCTATGTATCCTCTGGTTAGGGAGGACAGTATAATCCATTTGCTTTTAAGTGTCCTTGATTGGGAAGATAAGGTCTTGTGATTCACAAGCTGGCTGCAAGACACCCAAACAGATTGGCCTTGTGTAATTTTCTTGTCTCAGTTTCCACTTCCCACTTGCCCAGGAAATTACCTAGCATCTTACTATCCTGCCTCATGTGGACAACAGAACTATCTTGCTGGAAAAGCCTGCTGCTTCACTAACAAGGGCCTCAGAGACATGGACTAAAATAATGTGCATCACCAGTGGTGCTAACACTGATATATGAAGGATTTCTCATTTGAATTGTCCTAAATTGAGCCTATGAAATCTCCATAATATATTATTCCATTATTATACCAATTTTCTAACTTATTCAGTTTGTTGGCATTGTGGGGATTGGTGGGAAATGAGCTGGGAGGATGATTCTGGTTAGCTGTCACTGCATAACAAACCATCCCTAAGCCTAGTGGTTTAAAGCAACAACAATCATTTATTTTTCTCCTGAAACCTAGGCAGAAATGCAGTGGGGGTGGCCCATCTTTGCTCTTTGCAGCTTCACCTGAGATGGCTCAGTTGGCAGCTGGAGAATCTGCTTCCATCTTGTCCTACTCGCATGGCTGGCAAGTTGTTTCTGCTGGCAGAAGGAAGACCAACCAGGGGAGTGAGCCAGTGATTTCATGTCCTCTTCATGTGGATTCAATGGACAACTTGGGCTTCCTCAACACATGATGGCCAAGGGCCAAGGGAACATATTCCAGAGAGCAAGGAGGCATCCTCCCTATCTAATTTTAGAAGTCATAGCCATCCACTATTTGCTAAAGCAGACACAAAGTCCATGGAATTGCAAGGCAGTGGCACAGACCTTTATAACTCAACAAAAGGAAAAGCAAGCTCAGATTATAAGAATAGGTGGGATAGAAGATACTGTTATAACCATTTTTTGAAAATACAATCTACCACATTAACAAATGATGGTAAATTAAAAAGAAAAAAGAAAATTTACACTATTTGAAAAAACTATGCCATAGTTTTAAAAGCATATTTTTAACGCTTTGTACAATATCTGCAAATATATTCTTTTCAGCTTCTCCCCTTATATCTTTAATTCGTTCTTCATACTTCATCTTTAGGGCTTTTATTTTTTTCTCTTTATCTTCCTGTGATATTTTCTTCTGATTACATAGCTCTTCTGTTTGTTTAATTTCCGTCTCCAATTGCTCAGCATAGATTTTCTTCAAGGCTTCTGCCTGGCGTTTCAGCTTTTCATCTGCGTCCTTGTATATGTCATCAGAAAAGTAAGTCTCTCTGTTCTCCCACACCATTTTCTCTATCATCTCCACCAGCTCCTGCAGTTGAGCTTCCTTCTCAGCTTCATCTGCATTCTGCTTGTTATTGAAGGCACAGCAGCGGGACCCACACTCCTCGAGGATGTTTTTTAGGTCCACATCTGATTCCTGTAAAAACTCACTCAGTGTCTTACCATCCAAATCATCTTTGCGAGTGAACAACATGATCATGTGCTTCATGGCCAGCTCCCCAAAGATGGCCTTGATCAATGCAACCGTTCTCTGTTCCTCCTCCGTGTAGCGGCCGAGCTGTAGTACCAGGATGATGGCATGAGGCCCAGGGCAGGAGAAGAGGACACACTTGCTGATTTCCTCACAGGTGGTCTGCAGTTTCTCCTTGGTGTCAAAGAGCCCTGGGGTGTCCACGACAAGAAGGTTCCTCCCCTTCCATTGGCGTTCTTCTTTCTGACATTCCTTGGTAACAGCGTGGGGAGCAATTTTAGATACAAATTTTCTTTCCCCAATGATGGTGTTTGCTGTTGCACTTTTCCCACTTCCAGTTTTCCCCACCAGAACAATCCTCAGATTGTTTTCCTGAAGACCAGCCATGTTTGTTTCAAGAGGTTCTGTGCTTTAGGCTTCCACAAGACCTTATGGAAGGGAGGAGAGTGGAGAAAGGTCAACTTAGCTAAGTGGGAACCATTCCCAACCCTCTTTTCTTCGTTCTTTTCCTCCATGAAAATTTGTAATGGTCTATTACTCATTACCAGAATGGAGAGATGACACAGTTCAATTATTATGGAAGAAATAATAGAGCAGAGTCTCTCCACAAAAGAGTACAAGGTCCAGATCCTTTCACAGGGGAACTCACTTCAGGCTTTAAGGATCTGATCATCTCAATGCGATGCGAGCTATTCCTGGTCATATTAAAAAAGAGGGAAATCTTTCAATTCTTATATGAATCAAGTGTTATATTGATCCCAAGGCTACCAAAGACTTCACCAATAAGTAAAGCTACAGATGTGTCTCGTTTGGAAATATTAATACAAAATTTTTAAATATATTATTTGACACTAAAAAAGTAATACCCCATGATTTTATGATTTATTTCAGAAATACTAAGATGACTCATTATTGGAATTTTGATCAGAAGCTTTTCCCCTATAAGTGATAAAAAGTGGATTATAAAGTCTTTGTATGAAGAAAAGAATAGATACTTCCCTAACATGATTTTATATAACTAAAGTTAATTTCTGAGTCAGCATCTTTTTTCATGCAGGTGACAAACAGTGGCTTATAAAGTTAAGGATCACATTATAAACTTCAAATAATGGATTATAAGGTTCATTTGGATGAATAAAAAAGAAAGTTATCTGGACCTATTAAGAAAAACAACAAGAAGGGAGGACCAGCTCTTTCTGGAGTCAAGCATCATAGTTTCTATGATTAAAGCAGTATGATGTTGGTTCATGGATAGAGAGAACAGTGAAATAAAAGCAGAAAATTCAGAAATAGACCAAATTAATCAGACTCTATTCATTTATATTCCATTCATTTATGTTACAGTTAGATTCAGTAAGGCAGCATCTCATATCAATGGGACGAAGATGGACTAATAAAGCAACTTTGGGGTAACTGTAAACCATTTGGAAAAAGATAAAACTACATTTATTCCCTCATGCCATTCAAGTTCCAGAACGATTAGAAGTTTAAATGTAAAAAACTAATCCATATAAATAATAGAAAAAGGCATGGGTAATTTTTTTGGTAAAATAGGGAAAAGATTTATAAGATTTGAAAAAGAATAAGGAAAAGGATTAATAAGTATGATTACATGAAAATCTCACACATAATCTAGGACAAAAAAAATCATAGACAAATTAAACCAAAAATGTCACTCCAGGGAAAGAAACATTTTCCAACTTATACCAAAGGGGTGAATATTTCTGTTATAGGTGTAAAAGATCAATCGAAGGACTTATATGCATGCATATAAACATAACCATTGGACACAAGACACTGAGGGGTTGGATAAGAGCTTGCGCCGGGGTAGGGGAGGCCAGGGGAAGGACAATTGGGAAAAAAAGAAGACATGTACTACTATTTGTAATACTTCAAAAAGGAAAATAAAATTTAAAAAATTTATGAAGAACAGAAACAAAAACCCTACAACTCAATAGAAAATGGACCAAGATATAGGAATAAACACCCAGAGAAAAAGAAATTAAAGTGTGTCTTGAATATATCAAAATATATTAACATACACTCATAATAGGGAAAATAAATCAAAGCACAAAAAGTAAAATAAATTAAAATTACACCTCTATTTCTGAGGTGAGATTCTATTTCTCACCTCTAGGTTAGGCAACAATCCAAACATTTGCTGGCCTAATCTGTAGGTAAAGGTATGGCAAAAGCAGGGCCTCCCCTGCATGGCTGGTGAGAATGGAAAAACAGTCCAAACTCTACAGAGAAGTTAGCACTGTGCTGCAAAAGTACATATGCATTTTCCCTTTGATTATCAATCCCCAATTTTAGGATTCTTTGTAAACTACACTGACAGAAGTATAGAAAAAAAATGCATAAACCTATTTATCTCATCATGATTTGTAAAAGCAAAAAACCAAAAACCTATAAAATGGCCATTTGTAGGAATAAACTAAGGTATATTCACATATATTACAGTGAAGTACTATCCAACTGTGAAAAGGAGTGAGATGTGTCTCTATGTACCAGCATGGAGAGATCTCCAGGATGTATCATTAAGTGAAACAAAGCAAAACAGAAAAACAAAGTGAAGAAAATAATATAGAATTTAACTACCATTTCTCTAATAAGAGGAATATGAATTACATATATAAAACATAATATATTTTTTTCATATATATGAAAAGGTAATAGCAGGATACTCTGAAAACTAAACCAACAAAACATTATTTACATGAGAATGGGAGAAGCAGGGTAGAGGTGACAGGGACAGAAGCTGGAAACTAGATGTCTTTGTTACACTAAGATTTCATAGCTTTGATCTTGAAATCATGTAGGTAGTTTACATAATTATACAACAAAAGTTATGTTTTAAGATATTGAAAGCAAATGAAACAAACAAATCTAATTGCATTTTGTATGGTGGATAAACCACATAAGAAATTGGTCTAAGTAACTTGAAAATGCAATAATTTCATTGTGCATATCTAGAAGGATTGTACTAGGTCCTCCCCGCCCCCCCTGCCCCCCCGCCAAAAAAAATTCAAAACCTGAATTAAAAATGTTTTCCAAAAAATCCTATTTTTAGTGTTTTGTGTGTGTGTGTGTACTTTTGAAGTCCATTGAAAAGGCATAGAGTTAATGATGAGCCCAGTGACAAAGAGCACCCTTAGTGCCCAGAGTGTAGTCTTCAAATGCCATTCATTTCCCACCAAACAATTAGGGCTCTAAGGAGAAAGTATTGATTTTAGGAGTAGGCAGGAAATATCTGAGTTGAGTCTACACTCTCTTGTCAACTAGAAAGCCAGGATGCTCTAAAAAATCTCTAGGAATTTTTTTTTTTTTAAATATATTTTATTGATTTTTCACAGAGAGGAAGGGAGAGAGATAGAGAGTCAGAAACATCGATGAGAGAGAAACATCGACCAGCTGCCTCCTGCACATCTCCTACTGGAGATGTGCCCGCAACCCAGGTACATGCCCTTGACCGGAATCGAACCCGGGACCCTTCAGTCCGCAGGCCGACGCTCTATCCACTGAGCCAAACCGGTTTCGGCAAATCTCTAGGAATTTATCAAAAGGACTTATGAGTCAACTTCAAGAGAATCCAACTGGACAAAGATGTGACAATTTGAGTATCAATAATAATTCCAATGAATCAAATGTATCAAATATGTTGAAATCCATGAGTTCATAGCAAGGCCTTCTTCTTTTTTCCCCCCAATATATTTTATTGATTTTTTACAGAGAGGAAGGGAGAGGGATAGAGAGTTAGAAACATCGATCAGCTGCCTCCTGCACACCCCTTACTGGGGTACATGCCCTTGACCGGAATCGAACCTGGGACCTTTGAGTCCGCAGGCCGACACTCTAACCACTGAGCCAAACCGGTCAGGGCAAGGCCTTCTTCTTAAAAGTAGTCCATAACCCCATTTGGAGCCTGTGAGGAAAGCATTTTATTGTTCTGAACATAGACAAAAAAAGGGAAAGGATCAAGCCTTTTGATGGAAGTTGACAGCTGCATCCATGAAGTATTCCCACCAAAAAACAGTCAAACCTGAATCTGATCAAATGTCTCCTTTAAAATAAATTCACACAAAACACCAGAACTAGACGAGCAGGTGAAATCACACCGTGAGGATGAAATCAACAAAATGTACATTGCCTGGTTCTGTTGGATAAAAGACTTCCCTTTTCTCACCAGAGAAATTTCCCAGAAAGTAACAGGGAAGGTTGGAAACCTACATATTAAGATAAATTTAAGAGAAATCAAACAATTGTGATTTATGAATCTTATTTGGATCTGACTTCAAACAATTTTTTAAATTATGAGATAATCAGAGAAATCTGCATGCAACTGACAATTTTCCAAAATTTCGACTTGCTTTTTGAAGTCTGATTATGTTAATATTTTAAATGGTTTCAAATATTTACTGAAACAATGTCTGATGAATGCTTCAAAAAAATGTGGGGTGTGTAGGGAGTAGTGAGTACATAGATGAAACAAAATTGGCATCTATTGGTAATCATTGAAGCCTGGTGTAGGTACATGGAAGTTCCCTGTACTAGTCTTTTATCATTAAATAAGTTAAAAATTTTTCCACAATAAAAATTTAAACCTGTGTAATGAAACCACTATCAAATATTCTATACTAAGCACCCTGATAAATGTCTTATACATTATCTCATGTACTGCCCCAAAATGCTAATTTTATTTTTCTAACTTTTAAAATAAGGACATTGTTGTGGCTCAAAAATACTTAGACATTTGCCCATGGTCACGGTGCCAACAGTTATCAGGCAGAGAAGGGATCCAATTCAATGTCTGTCTGACTACCACTTCCCTCCTAACCACTGCACACAACAGCCTCTTCTTAGTTTCTTCTCAGGCCCATGATTCTAAAATCCCATAGAGTAAGAGTTATATCAAGAGAAGACAGGGAAGGAAGTCCACACTCTTTATAGAATGGAAAATTGTCAGGAAGCCTGTAACTAGGGAAGTGAACAGGAGGGTTTCACATACATTGTTCCTCCAGAATAGCCAACCCTCTCCCCACAACACCCCCTCCTCACTTGACATGTCACACTACTGGGGTCACAGTTTCTACTAAATGATGGGAAGGATTCAGCAACCTGCAGTTTAGATTTCCTCTGCCTTTAGTGATGTGGGCAACCCCTAGAGTCATAACACCCTGGGGTCCCGCTTCTTTTTCAGTAAAAAGAGGGAGTTAGACAGGGTTGTCTCTAAATTGCCTTTGAGCTCTAAAGAACTGACTTGGGGGCACTCATTTCCTATACAGGGAAGAGGAGCCCTCAGTGTCTATCACAGCAGCAAATGCATGAAGGTACACCAGTAAGCACAAATGTGTCTTATTTAAATGAGACGTGTAACATTGTGCTAATAAAACTCCTGACTCCCCTTTCTACCATGTGCCACTACCCTCTGAAAGCACTCCACCCCCCACTGTGCTGCTGGCACAGAAACAGGTCTCTCCTGAGACCAGAACCCATGCTCTGCACACTCCCTGAACCTACGGCCCTCACAGCTCTGCCACTCAGGACCCCTACTCAGCTAGACTCACCTTCTTTACCAAGAGTTGATGAGCTCTCAGGTTTTCTCCAAAGAATCTCTTTGAGCGTGGGCTTTTGCTTTGACTGTGAGGATGAAGTGTTTGCGTCCTTTTAACCCGGTGAGCCAGGAAGCACAGATGGGGTGGAGTCAGTAGAGGAACTGTTTGCCTTTAAAAAGACAGTCATATTGTCCCTAATTTGGTGAGTGTTTCAGATTAGCCAAATTGAAACCTTTTCCTCCTTGTGCCCAATCTCGCACCCAAATTTCCAAAGCTATAGTGAGTGTTTTGGGTTATAGTGTTGGATCCAAAAAGCCCTATTAAATGACCTAAACCTTGCCTAGAAAGCCAGGCACAGTGTCTGTCATTTTCCCTGGTGTAGTGGGAGACTGTGGGGTTATTCTGGAAGAAGGAAGTTGGCTTATGACTTCGTGAATCCTTGGGTGTTCACTAGGGATGGTACAATTTGGGTTTTGGGTCTGTTCTTTCAGGAGGGTCTCATGTTAATCATTTAGAAATTAACAGGACTCAGGTACAAAGCCAAAGCAGTCTAACCCACTGGGAGCCATGGAGAAAAGAGGAGAGGAGGCCTGGAAAACTATTCTCCAGTAAACATCCACGCTCTCTGTTTTGTTTTGTTTCTTCATATGGTTCTTGCAAAATTGAAAGTTTGTATGACCTGACAACTAAACATGCACCTGAGGAATAGATGCAACTTTCCTTCCTAATCTTCCTACTTTCTCCCACCCCAGAACCAGACAGTCAGCTTACTCTAGATTTACCAGTGGATGGATGCATTAGGCTTTGAAAATTGTTTTTAGGTGAGATACAGGCTGCCAAAGCTCTCATGGTTCACAGGATTTTCTAGGGAACCATGAACCATGAACCATCACCATAAAAATACTGAGTTTTTATTATATACTAGTGACCCAGTGCATGGATTCGTGCACATTGAAAGGATATTAATTAGAAGGTGGCCGGCAGGGCAGGACTGGGTTGGACAGGCAGACATGTCCTGGAGCCAACCTCCCGTGGTCCCTCCCCTCCTGCCCACACCTGGGGCTGCACCACGGGCTCCAAGGCATCTGCAGAATGAGTGGGATCCATCCTGCAGGTGGAGTCTCTGGGACTGTCCTGCAGGTATGGGCTGAAACCAGCTCTCTGTCATCCTCCGAGGGGTCCTGGAGTGTGAGAGCTCCTTCCTCTCTGGTTCCAGGGTGTGTCACCCAAGAACTGCAGCTGCCAAGTCATGACAGTTCAGCAGCTCTTCTGCTGAATGTCTTCCCCCTGGTGGTCAGTGCACGCCATACCCTCTGTCTGGTTGGATGGTTGCATGGCTGCTTAGCATTTTATATATATAGATTTTGTTCACTAGGTTGAGAAATTTGATCAGTCGATGTTTTAGCATCAGGATAGGTGCTAAGAGGACCATATGTGGCAAGAAGTAGTGGACAATAGGGTGGTTACTAATGGAGGGAAGCAGCTGGCTTTGGAAACTATGGTGTTAATAACCATATCCTTGGACCAATTATTGGTGTTAATGACTTGGGTTACAATGAAGGGCCCCAGATGACACTTTTTTGATTTCCAATAAAGACACAGATCAGGACCAACTATGTAATTTGCCAGGACTCGCACAAATAGAAAATACCAGGTCCTTTGTTGAAAAATCGTGAAGCATTTCAAGATGATATTATAAAGCCATTAAACCATGTAAGGGTCCCCTCTAATCACTAGGCCTTGTACAGCTCTACAGGTCACACACCCAGGAAACTCACCTTGACAGGCTGCCATATGAGTTGAGAGCATAGCCATAACCACATCTCCTGCTCCAAATATATCCACCATTGCCCAGTTTCACTTCATTCTCCACATTCCTTTAATGAAACTTGTCTTGCCAGAAGCTGCTTTGTGTGTTTTCCTGGTCAACCATCTGCTTCTCCAGGTATTTCCCTAGATACACAGTTAAGTTCCTTAGAGGGAGGAGGGAAGTGTTTGAGATAGAACCCTCTGTGGCTCAGTTGGTTGGAGCACTGTCCCAAGAACCAGAAGGTCTCAGTTTCAATCCCTGGTCAAGGTGTATGGGAGACAACTTATCAATGTGTCTCTCTCAGATCAATGTCTCTCTCTCCCTTCTTCTGACTCTAAAATCAATTTTTTTAAAAAAAGAGCCCACAGGGTGCAGGATACAGGTCTTGAATGGTAACAGGCTTGAGGTCATTGGCCACAGAGGAGCATATGAAACATGACAATCCCATTCCTGAACCCTAACTTAAGAGTGATCTCCATCTAGAAGACTTGTGATAGGAGTGTTGCCTCATATTTCTCCTGCACTGTTCACCTGGCCATGCTCTTCGTCACTAGGAGCTCCTTTCCACACCCAGCTCTGCTGTGAGCCACTTGTCTCTCTGCTGTGGGTCCCCATCTGGAACTCCCTGAAGGTGCCCTCCCCCCTCCCAGGATGCTGCTCCTTCTACATAGTCAGAAGCAAAGAGATGAATGGGGAGAAAGTCACAGCTTCCTTTGTTACATTTTCCACTTATTCTTTTTACCACTTAATTCTTCACATCATACACATAGGGCAATGTGGATGTATGTGAATTTTTCCAAAGGTTGTGTGTTATTTTAAAAAACACAATTCTTTAACTTTTACCAGAGTCTGCCTTGTGGAGCTCAGCTTCTAAGATTCAGATAAATTCAAAACTCAAACTTATTACAACATTGAAAAAGTGATAGCAGGAGATGAAGATAATAGATTCCTCACACTGTGCTGACTCTCCCACAAATCAAGAATTGAGCTTGGTATACTAGTTGCCTATTGCTGCCATAACAAATTAAAAAATATTGTGGCCTGAGGCAATACTAATGAATTCTCTTAGAGTTCTGGAGGTCAGGAGCCTAAAATTAGTCTTATGGAGATAAAATGATGGTATCATTAGGGCTTATCTTTCTGAAGGCTCCAGTAGATAATCCATGTCTTGCCTCTTCTAGCTGCCAGAAGCTTCCAGAATCCATAGCTTGTGCCCACACCACTCTAATCTCTGCTGCCATCATCACATTGCCTTCTTCCTCCTTTGATCTTCTTGCCTCCATCTTCTAGGGACCTTTGTGATTACATGTAGTACCCACGCAGATAGACAATCTCCTCCTCTCAAAATAATTAACTTCATCACATTTACAATAAGATAATATTCATAGGTTCTGAGGATTAGGATGGCAATCTTTAAGGGGGTAATTTTCAGGATACCACATGTGGATACATTATCCTCTCTGCAACTCACTTTCATAGTCTTTAAAATGGAGTATTTGCTTCATAGGCTTAGTGTTGGTACAAAAGCACGGGATGCTGTTGTTAAAAAGAATACTTAAAATGTGTAAGTGGTTATGGAATTGAGGGTAATGCACAGAAGCTGGGCAAATGCTGAGGGACCTGATACAGAAATTTGAAATTTTCCTTGAAGAAACTATTGATGGGAATTTGAATATTAAAGGTGAGATCTCAGATCAAAGTGAGGATCTTGGTAATGACACTGAAAGAAAGGTGATACTTGATACAAAGTGGGGGAAAGATGCTGAATTTGATTCTACTGCTGGGTGGGAAGAAGAGCTTGCAAGTGATGAACTTCAGTCTTTAGCTAAGGAGGTTTCCCAGCACATTGTGGGGGCACACCTGGTTTCTCCTTGTACAGTGCAAAAGGCAAGAGATCAGAGTTATTAATCCACCAGCCAAGGACTTCCAAGGATTGCCAGCAACACAAGGACCTGGCTACCAGCAAGGGAGGATCCCCCTAACCCCTACAGAGAGACCATGGCTCTGCCAACCTTTTGATGCTGGACCCCTAGAACTATGGGGTCATAAGTTTTTGTGGCTTTAAGCTATACTGTTTGTGGTACTGTGCTACGTCAGCCCTAGGAATCTCACACAATGCATTGCTCCTTCCTCCACCTTTTCTCCTGTCCTCCTCCTGTTCCATCCTCTCAGCATCCCAGAGGTTTCCCCTTCTGCATGAGCTTGTGTTTATTAGAGTAATCCTCCCCACCCCCACCCACTTATCTGGCCCAGGAGGACCACAGAGGCTGCTGATGAGTGTAGTGGTGGCTTTCTCAGAAAACTTTAAACTCTGCATGACTTGGTTTCTCAGTGATGTCTCCCTTCCCAGGATTCCAGACTCTAGATTTGCCCCCTCTCCATCCTCTTTACCCTTTCTGGACTCAGGCCCTTTACAGAAGAATTTAACAGTCATCAACAATTTTACAACCCCCCCCCAAAAAAAAAAACAAAAAAAAAAAACAAAAAAAAAAAAACCCAAAACGTCTTTCTTTTTGAGAGAAACAAAGAAAATGAAGGGCACATGGATTCCTAAGGGGAAGGGGCAGATTGCCAGCTGGTGTGAGCACAACAGATCCTGAGACCACCTCTGCCTGAGAGCATGCTCCAGGCCCACCCGCAAGAGCCAACCTCAGACTCCCACAGAGCACCGAATTCCTACAAAAGAATCATTTTACAAAAACTCACTGAGACAGACAACACTATGGTGTTTACCAAAAAGATGGAGTGAGAGGGGCCAGGAAAGTGTAAAGGGGGTCAAACATTTGGTGACAGAAGGAGACTGGACTTTGGCAGGGCACACAATGCAATATACAGATGAGGTATCATGGAATTGTACACCTGAAACCTATATCATGTAATTAACCATTGTCACCCCAATAAATTTAATTCAAAAAAGAATAAATAGTTTTACCTAAAAAATGAAGGAGGGCATTATCCTTTACAAAATAACACAAAATGAGTTTTCATGCATTTAAATATATCTAAGCCAGCAGCATCTGCTGCAGCATAGGATGGATGACATGTCTGACAATGTGTCCCCTTCTTGTTAGCCCAGTGACACTTTCTTTGTTCCATGAGGTTAGGTTCAGAGCAGACAGTCATATTAGCACATCAGCACTGGTGTCTGTCATTAACACATGAAATGCAGGCAGGAAAGATATGTGCTTCTGATCTGCACTATTGAGTCTATGGCTTTGGACAAAACATAACCCCTATGAGCCCTGGTATCTCTACAGATGAGAATATAGGGAAGGGTCAGATCATCTAAGTCTGATGCCCCCCACCCCCCATGATTTACATTTTACACCAATATCTGGGCCT